TCTACCTTGACTTTTTAGTGTCAACATGGACTCATTTGCTAATTATAATGGACGTATTTCTCTAGCCAGACTTCTACTTTCATCACAAAACTGAGACGTTGTTGAATATTTCAAAGGATCAAATATGGTATTCAGTTAATCTTAAAGGCAAGCATAGTTCTCACCTTGCAAATAACTGTTGTTTGAGTGTGTGAAATAGACCTAAAAGCACGTTTTCTTCCTGGTTGGGTTGACCATGTTAGAATAATCCCGGAGGGGGTATTGTCCTTTAATCCCATTTCTTGAAATTCACTCACCTTTTGGTGTTTGTGGTAAATACTGCTATTATCTCTAAAATAACATTTAATAAAATAAAAATATGTTCTCACTACAGACATTTATATATATTTATTTTTATGATTTTTATATATATTTTGGGGATGTCTCAGCCAAACTCGTTGAGACCACATGCGTCCATTATGCACACCTCTAAAATGCAGCACGAAGAAATATGTTGGATTGGTGGTCCTTTTTATATTTAGTGATGGCAAAAAAAGTTTTTGCCTTTTATGCAAATGAGATCCCATTACATGTACAACCATAAATAAGATCAACATCTTTCAGTTTTCAAAATTAATAAAAATGGAATCTGTATGAATCTGATGGAAAAAAAAGCCTGTTTTAACACCCACAAATGATATAATTTATAATATACTGTTGTTTATTTTGGATACCTATGTACATATATATTTGTACATCCAGTTATATATATATACATTAATCATGAGCAAATTGAAACACTATTCAAGGTCTTGCAATTTTATATTTTTGTCCGTTTATCTTAGAAATAAACAAACTTGAAAAATATAATTTTCATGCTATCCTTATTTTAATTTATATTATTTACATATAGATATGTCCTCATCTTTGTTGTTGTATATAATGTTTATAGCCATTAGCACTTCGAATTCATCAGGTGTATGTCAATCTGGGTAACCACTAAATTTTAACTATATATATTTAATCTATGGGTATGTAGATTGTTCCCATGGGAAAATAGCCTAGTGGATTAAAGCATTGGTTCATGAATTTGGTACACATCATTGACAAAGCATCCCTGGGCCAGGCAGTGTGCAATTTAACTCAGTGGAAACAAGCCAAGCAATAACTAAGTATCAATGAAATAAAAACTTTGTGAGATATACCTGTGAAATGGGAATAATTTACCACTGTAAATTAAATAAATATAGATAGAAGGTCTTTGCGTACTTATCCGTGAATATCAATAATCCCGTGTGCATTTATATTGTTGCAAATCGCAAAATAATGAACAACAAGTGAACAATAATATTAAAGACAAGAATGTTTGCATAACAATAAATAGAAAAACTTATATAACAAAAGGTACAATCATTTCTTGAAAAAGTTGTTTAAAACCTTCAAATATAATCTTTGTATTTTACTATATATTTTATATATTATATATATATATATATATATATATATATATATATAAAGTGAACATGAGATAGTATAATACAGTATAGTGTGATCTGTTTGAAATTAAACAACTTAAGTTTACAAAATTGTGTGTGGTCGCAAAGAACACTAACTTTGTTTTTATGTTGTCTTTTTATTGTCCTTTTTGATTTTTAGTTATTACACTTTATGGAAAAATATAGCACACCTTAAGACTGTTTTTTCATATATATATATGTATTTATACAGATCGAGTCTGAGATTACATTATGTGGCAAGCCTCTCATTTCTCTATTGCTATCCGTGTTTGTTTCCATGCTCGGACGAATTACAATTAATTGTTCCCCATTTCACATATTCATGGTAGGAGGCTCCATGCCACTTAAATGTAGCTCAATCCCTCCATTTTTCATCGGGTCAAATATATTACAGTCCAACAGCTTGAAAATTGATAATTTCTTTAGAACTGACAGCTAAGGAAATGTTTAAGCCTGATCACTTGGGTTTTTTATGACTGTTATCCTGATCTAGAGTTAACCGTTATCTTACCCTCCTATCCGTATAAACTGCCTCTTAACATAGACCTCTACCTCGATGGCCCTCGGGCCTCGTACAGGGTGAAGCATAAAGTGATAATAAAAAAAATGATCTTACCCTGACGAACGGTGTATCTTCGAAATTCGGATACATAAGTCTTGAATTTTTCTATATCTAGTATATACTGTTGCTGTGTATAATGACGACCGACCTTCTCTACATTAAGTTGTTAAACATAGACTCCACTCGCGATGAGTATGAATACCAGTTCATAGGAAAATAAATTCTTGTTTGTGAGTTTTTTGTTTTTATAGTGTTGAACCGTACGCATTGCCCTAACCCGGCCTTGTACAGTGTGAACCTTAGAGTAATTTTTCTTGTTAATCTTACCCTGAAGAACGGTTTCTTAAAATCTTCGAAACTGAATTCGGATAGATAAGTCTTTTGAATTTTTTTTTCAATCTATCATATAATATTGTTGTGTTCAATAATATTTCCTTCTATTACATATTTTTGGACTCGTCCTTCTGATATAAGAACGCCTTTCATAGTGAAAAGGGTCCAATTTGGGGGTTCTTGTTTACAAAGTTTTCTTGTATTGCCACCACCCTTTTTTGTATTCGCTATTATTTTAACAATAAATTTATAATTCCCTCCGTGTGATTAAAATTTTCACTAATCTTTTGTCTGTTGTTGTTTTTTACAATATTATTAAGCAGAAAATATACTGTTTTATAAATAATTGTTGCTCTATTTTTTTTAATATAAGCATTCACTGCAAAACATTCTGTTAACAAAAATATTAATTTATATTTGTATTCCTACATGTTTTATTGGGCGTTATTTATCTGTGTTATTATTTTTTATATAATTACCAAAAGAAGATAAAAATTTATTTAATCAAAAAAGAATTATTTTTAAGGAGTTTCCATCTAGATTGATTTTTTTTAATCATTTGATCTCAAGCAAGGCGGGAATGCCATAAGTGCGCTGGGGTTAAACCCCCCAAAAAACAAAAATGAAATGCAAAGATTAAGAATAGGAGGGAAAAACAATATATAAATATTCTTCAAGAAGATAGAAGAATTAATTTTATCAGAAAATGACCAACAAACGGATAAAAATTTTTCACATGGGATAATTTAAAAAAAACTTTAAGTATAATTTATCAGTATTTAATCAAAAGTTTTATTTTGTGCGAATGTTTCCATCCAGATTGAACTTTTTTAATCCTTTCATCTCAAGCAAGTCGGGAATAACTAGTACGTTTGGTGGGGAGGGGTTAAAAAAAGTGAAAATGATGAAAACAAAAGATTAATGTATAATGAGGTTAAGAAAAGGACAAAATATAGACAAATTCCCGGATAATCTTTTTTGTGCGGTTATCACAACCATGAACACTAAATTCTTACTCTATAATTAACAATACCCTGATGATGACATTATGCTATGTCGAAAGTACTCGAAATCAACACAATATGAGCCAACATGATGTTTTCCTCTTGTCTTTTAATAACTGCACAAAAAAGGTTATTCGCGAATATGAAAGGATCCTATCGAGAATAAGTAGACAAAACATGTCTAAATTATTTAACGAAACAGGCCTTTATACATACATATATATATATATATATATATATATATATATATATATATATAGTCTGAATATAAACTAAATAATGAGATATTAGCAACTGTATATACGCGTGATAGCGTGCATACAAAGTTAAGAAAATAAATATTTAATTTATGGTGCAAACGAAACAGTGCTAAATGTAGTTAAACAGAGATAGGAAATATATATTAATAAATACACATATACGTACGTTTGTAGTTCAACTTAAAGATTCATGGTCTCCCAAGATGTCAGGCACAAATGGTAAATGAACCACTTAATACTGTTGTTTTTAGGAACAACCGTATTAACAAATGTAGGTATGTGTATTAATATATATATATATATATATATATATATATATATATATATATATAGAGAGAGAGAGAGAGAGAGAGAGAGAGAGAGAGAGAGAGAAGATGAGGAGGAAGAGAAGACGACGAAAAAGAAGAAGAAATCCACATCTTTCGTTGGGACCTTTATAGAAGCCTATGTCTGTTAAATTATATTTTCGTGTCCGAAACGTAAACAAAAAAACTTCTAATAAATTAATTGTTTTTTTAATCCGACATTATTTCTCATTTTTATAAACGCTTAATGTGTACATGTCTTTGAGTAGACATGTCTTGATTTTTTTCGAAGTTAAATTAATACCTAACGGCCACGTGATCGAAAGTCTTACAAAGATCTATGTCACCCAAAATGAATCGTACCTGCATTTTGTGCAATTTCCAAATAGTCTTATTGAGCCTTACTTTGGTGTAATGGCTTCTCGTGGCTTAACGGTGAAGCACACTTGTTGAAAGTGATTTCCTCTTTATATATCTACAGATAGATAAAGAGGAAAATTCATGATAGATAGATAGATAGATAGATAGATAGATAGATAGATAGATAGATAGATGCGTGGCACACATATATATGTTTTAAGTATCAATATTGTCTGAGTACACACAAATGTTTGACCTGAGAGGCTATTAATGTTTATCGACTTTTCTTTGTGTACCTGCACACAGAGTTTACATGCATGTACAAATTAAATGAAAGCCAGAAGTCTGACAACCCGTCAGCATCAAAATGCAACTGTTGACAGGGGCCGATGAGTTTGTCAAGAAATGCCGCCATTTTCGCAACGCCATACGCCACTTTGCCCGTCATTTTAGTATGGAATCTGACATGAAATTTTCCATGGATAAGATTTTAAAAAAAGAAAAGAAAAATCGATTTTATTCACATTTGTTTGGCTTTTGTGTTTTCTTTTTTCTTTTTTTTATTTCCCTTTCGCTTTCATTCAATCCAGATTTCCATTTTCTGGCCTCCTTTTCAAAATCAATCTGGCTTTCATCTTTTTCTTTCTGTCTCCTATTTTTGAGAAGACAGGCTTCTTCATATGAATTGCTTTCAAAATAATCCGCCTCTCCTCTTTCTTTTTTATTTGTTTTTTCACGTTCTTTCCCAAGTAATATTTCCTTCCCCACTCTCTCTCTAAGTTTCTCTCTTTCCTTCCATCTCCCTCCCTTTCGCTCTCTCTCTACTCCTTCCCTCGCTATCTCTTCCCCCTTTCTCTCTCTCTCTCTCTCTCTCTCTCTCTCTCTCTCTCTCTCTCATTTCTTCTCTCTCTCAACATAAACATACACGCGCATATATTCTTTCTTTCTTTCTGTACTTGTTTTTCCAGGCATTTTCTTCCAAATTTTCCCTCACTTTCTTACCCGTCATCATTCTCCAGCGGTTTTTTCTCCACTCTCTCACGGCTTATACTATCTTTTTTCTCTGTCTCTCTTTCACTTGCTTCATTTTCGTTACTCCCATACTAACTTCCCTTTCTCCTCATTTCTCTATCTCTTTCTTTTTTTCTCTCTTTCGTTTCACTCTCTGTTTCTCTCATTTACCCTTACGCTTTCTATTCTTTCTCCTTTTACACTCTGCTTTTCTTTCCTCCTCCGCCTCTCTCTCTCTTTAGTCTTTCTCTCTCATTCTACCACTTACTCTTTATACATTATTTCCAGCCTTTTTTTTTTCTTCTCGCCGCTTTTATTTCCCCACTCTCTAACTGCTTATACCTCTTTTTTTCACCTCTTTCTTATCTTTTAATCTCTTAATAGCGGCGAGTGAAAAGATGAAAAAATAATCCTGGACCTTTCTTTATAAAACCGACCAAATGTTATTTTTTATTATGATTTAAACGCATCATAATTGCAAATGACATTGCGTTTTATTCTTATCTAAATAATTACTGGAAGCAGACACTCTTACTTGACACGGCCCAGATGATAACTCCATTCCTAGAAAGCCACTAGTCCAGACATTCATCAGGTGACCTACTCATTATGGTCATCAACAAAGCAAGGGTCTTATCAGATAAATCCTTGTCGATAATCACAATGTAAGTCGCTACTAAATGATTGTATCGTTTAGGTGCCATACGAACGATTAATTTTATTGCAAGAGATTTTCCTTGATAAAAAAAAATCTGTTCGGCCGACACCTTCCAGAAAATATGTCCACTTGGAAGGCAGCGGGAACAAAACAACTGTAAAATGAGGCTATGTCTTGATAGATAAGGAAAGAATTGGTTTAAGTTGTTTGTTTTTTGTTGTTTCTTTTTTGGGTTGTTTTTTGGGGTTTTTTTTTTTTTTTGGTTTTATTTAGTTTTTTTTTTTTTTTTTTTTTTGGCGGGGGGGGGTATTTTTTATTTACTGAGATTTTTTTTATTTTACATATTTTGTATTTCGTAATTTGTTCTTTTATGTTTTATTTATTTGTTTTCTTTTTTATTTTGTATGATTTTTTTTCCATTTGGTGGGGATATTTTTTTTTTTTATACCTGGATTTTTTTATTTTTTTATGTTTTTGAGTTTTGTCATTTTTTTTTAATTTTGTCTTTGAATTTTTTGTATGATTTTTTGTCTTAATTTTCTTTTTATGTATATTTTATTGTCAATTTTATTATTTAAATTATTGTTATTTTCGGATGTTTGGGTTCGTGTCTTTTGTTTTGTTTTTTGTTTTTTTTTTAGTCAATAATGTGCCATACATGATACAGGCTTAGGCGATCATGTATATTTCGATACACACAGGCGAGGCAGATTTTTTCCCGCAGTAGATAGCCATTTCTTTCTGCGGTAGACCAGTTGCCATCCAAGTCTAGAGAACCCTGTCTGTCCTGCTATTTAACCATAGCTGGGGGGAGAAGAAGAGGATTCATAACTTTCCTCAATACGAGCCGCTATCCATTACTCCACCCTGCCTCCCACGTTTTTGCTTTGTTTTTGTTTTTTAATGTTTCTTAACGCGTTTAAAGGTGTGAAAACATATTATGAAACAAAGTGCTCAATGTTAAAAAAGTAGAGCAACGATTTTTATAAAGATCGTTACTTAGTTTATATTCACATAGTTAATATATATATATATATATATATATATATATATATATATTTATATATATATATATATATATATATATATATATTCTGTTTTACATTATTTTATAGATACAATTTAAGTAAATGCTCTGATTTTTTAATGAAACATTCTTAATTACATTTACCTGCCTGAATGTTCGAGAAATTTCGTAGAAAATAATCGTTCTCGGACAAGAATCGAACCTATATATATATATATAATAGAAAAAATATTTATTTAAAAATTATAACATATGTATGTTGATCAATCAATACTAGATGTGTTGAAACAAAATGGCTATTTTTGTAGTGATGTTATAACACGCTTATGTTATAATTTTTAAATAAATATTATTCGCTCTACTTTGTACTGAGCACATTTTTAAAAATAGTGTTTTTGCTTACTGGAAATTTATTCCATCTTTATCAAACTTGTATTCGGATATTATAGAAAATATATTAAAATAATTGTCGGACTTACTCCATTTCATAATTTGTTGTCATTGTTTACGTTAAAGTACGTTTCGTGAGAAGTAATGATCGATCGACAAAAATTGTCGAAGATTGTGTGTTTATAAGATTGTGGGTTTATTGACGCTTCTCTGTAGCTGAATGTTACAGCACGTCAGGTCAAGTGAGGGTTTCCGTATATTCTCAGAAAATTTCTTTTCTCGCACTTCTCTCCTGTGAAACTCCATTCCGTTTACTTGCTTCCCTGATAACTTCAATCGTCTATCTTCTTGAATCCCGTTCATATTGTGTCCTTTCCTCAATCCTCCCTATACTCAATCTTTTCTTTCACTTTCACTCCCTGTAACCCCCTGCGTACTAGTGGCATTCCCGCCTTGCTTGAGATGAAATGATTAAAAAAAAATTCAATCTGGATGGAAACAATCCTGCAAGAAAATTCTTTTGATTAAGTAAATTTTTATCTTCTTTTGGTAATTATATAAAAAATAATAACACAGATCCTTAACGCCCAATAAAACATGTAGGCCAGTAAATTAACGTAGTTTAACGCATAAAAATGTTAACAGATGTTTTGCGAACAAAATACTCAATATTAAAAAAAAATAGTGCAACAATTCTTATAAAGCTCGTAGTTTCTGGTTAATAATATTGTAAAAAAAACGCCGAGACAAAAGATTAGTGAAGAAAATATTTAATCACACGAGGGACATGAATTACAGTTACAATAATAGCGAATACCTTTAGTTAAGTGTGGCAATGCTTACGATTCAACTTTACGATTTGCGACCCTCTTTACGACCCTTTTCCTATGAACAGGCGTTCCTACTCATCGCGAGTGGACGAGTCCAACAACTTAATGTAGAGAAGATCGGTCGCCTTTATACACAACAACATTATATGATAGATATAGAAAAAAAATTCAAAAGACTTATCTATCCGAATTCAGTTTCGAAGATACGCCGTTCTTCAGGGTAAGATTAACTTTTTTATTATTACTCTAAGGTTCACACTGTACAAGGCTGGGTTAGGGTAGAGGGTTACGTTAAGGGGTAGTTTACAGGAGGGGACGGTAACGGTTATCCCTAGACTTGAACAGATTAAGATTGGGAGTGGTTCGCGGGAAGAAGCTGTTGAAGTGGAACTTACTTCTCACCGATGGAATACGGAGGGAATGGGGGTGGTTTGCTACGATGTAAGTAGCATGGCGGGTCCTAGCCGTGAAGGATGGACCTGGCTGAACCAAGGAATGTAGTTCGTCCGAGAACTTTCCATGATAGTAGGGATAAAACAGTGAGAGGCTTGTCACATACCGCCTGTGACAGAGAGGTTGGAGGGTGGAAAATAATTCTTCTCTAACAAGAACTCGGAGACGCTTTTTGCCCAAATATGACAACAGTGGTTAGCAGTAGTTCGGGGTCTGATCGGTGGTGATGGAATGTAACCAGTTTGGTTTTCGAGGCATTGAATGTAACAAGCCAATTTTCCCCCCACTGGGAAGTTAGTGTCAAATCGAAAGAGAGGTCAGCTGCCAATCTTTGATTGTCAAGAGTTTTAGAGGTGTGCCCGTATATCGTCTTATCATCGGCATAGACTTTTACAGATAATCGGAGTGTATTCTTAAGTAGATAATTTATGTAAATCAGAAAGAGGTTGGTCCGAAAAATGACCCCTGGGAGACGCCTGCGTTGACTGCTAGGGCCGCGGAAAACTGACCGTTAATAACTACCTTCAGGAAGGATTTTTTTTTTTATAATTGAGAAAATTCCTCCAGCGATTCCATAGCTGGGGAGCTTGTGTAGCAAACCTTTATGCCAAACTTTGTCGAAGACCTTCGAGATATCCAATTTTTATGGTTCTTGCTTCTTACAGAACTTTTTGTCAATCATCTCTGTACTTCCTTACAAATTCCAATCTGGCCTTCCCATTATTACTGATGATGAGTGGTCTGCATCTTGTGGCATGCCCCCCCCCTATATTTCTACACTCAAATTCTGGTGGATTCTGAAACCTTTATCCCTGTACCCTGGAGATTGTTGGTGATGTCACTGACTTGTTTGGGTTTTTTTACTTCACAGCTTTCACAATGTAAAAATGTATTGCTGTCATTTTTAGTATAAAAATGTATTTTCATAGATTCATAGGATTTTGTTTTTGTTTAAGTGGTTCACTATTTGCCAACAGCTGGGACCCTAACAGGTGCTACCACCCCAAGTTAGGGTAGACCTGGGAACAACAGGCATTAGGAGGTTGTTCCACGCTTCTCAAAATTCTCCAATCTCCTGATCAGAAGCATTTGCTGCCGGATGTAGTTTATCGTCATAACCAGGACTATGCAGGGTTGTAATCAGTTTTTTTTTTTTATTTATTTATTTTTTTTTTTTTTTTACTTTTATTTTGTTTGGAAGGTAGTAATTTTTTTCTGTTGTTTTCGTTTTTCATTTTGTTTTTTTTATGTTTATTATTTGGGATTTTTTTTTTTTTTTTTTTGATAACGAGAAGAACGATTTGGTGAGTTATTCTCAACTCCCTCGAGGATGTAAATTATAGACAGGACCGGCATTAATCTGGAAAATCAAACACGTGCATGGAAAGAGGCAAAACCTTTCGGTGATGATCAAATGATACTATATTGGATTTAAAGGTATTAAAAGTTACAAGCTAGTGTTTTCCCCATTAATCCGTTAGGATTAGGTCAACGGATGGATAAGCTGTAAGGCTCTATATATCTTGATTTTTAGAGGTACTTCCCTGCATTGTTCTAAGCCTTCCCAGATAAATACAAACAAAGTTTTAGAGATCCAAAAAGTAATAAATATCGGAGAATTGTCCAATGGTTGTTTTACAAATAAGTTCTTTTACCGCATGGCGTCGCTAATCGTGGAGATATAAGCATATTTGAAGACGTGTTCGGTCATATATAAATTTATGCCTAAACTTGACCATGGTCCATTCGTCCTAAGTAATACAAGGGTTGATTATGAAGTATCGTCTCCTACTGCGTTGCGTCGCTAATAGTGGAAAAAGAAACGTGTTTGGGGATGTATTCATTTGTTGAAAAATTCCTGCTCAAAGCTGCTTAGTGACGGCATGAGGTCCATTGGTCACGAGCATTACATCCGAGGTAGAATGCAGATGCATGATGGGAATATACCTTACGTGCACTCAAAAATTACACCCGTAACATAAGGCCTGGGAGCCATATATTTTATGTTTCATTAA